GAGAACTATTGAGAACCTGGGAGTACTGGACAGCTGTTTCATCAGACTAGTTCGGGACGCTTCATCAGTACGCACCCACCGACACGGTTAAAACCCAGGACCTTCTGGTTACAAGGCTAGCGAGCTCGTAGACCAGTAAGCCACTGGGACCCAATCCAATGGCCTGCCAATGAATTCTAACTTCTGCCAGTTCACGACATAGCGAGACCATTTCGCAATGTCTTCTTCGATAAGTTACTGTCTTACCTTCAACCTCCTGTGCCCTACTAGTCACGGCTTCCCACTAGAACCCCAGGTAACTATCTACCTGAGTGGGGACAGTCGCTAGTGAGCATCAGATTAATTTTCAAGTATTGGTTTTATAGGGATTTTGTCTGATTGCATGGGGGATTTCATCATGAGCTGACATAAGTTAAAGAACCACTGGAAAACCTGGGAGTACTGTACAGTCCTATTCAGGAGGGTTCTAGTGGGAAGCCGTGACCAGTAGGGTACAGGAGGCTGAAGATGATATAGTAACTCATCCAAGAAGACATTGTGTAATGGTGTCGCTATATCAGGAATGGGCAGAGGTTAGAATTCATGGGTTGTCCATTGGATCGAATCCCAGTGACTTAATGGTCTACGAGCCCGCTAGCCTTGTGACCAGAAGGTCCTGGGTTCGAATCCCGTGGTGTGGATGTGTACTCCTGAAGTGTCCCAAACAAGGCTTACGAAACAGCTGTCCAGTACTTCTCGGTTTTCCAGTGGTTCATAATGGAATCCGTCCAATCAAACAAAATCCCTACAAAACCAATACTTGAGAAGTGAAGATGCGTCAAAAGTTGACTTTCTAGAACCAATGAGATTTAGAAAACTCTCTGAAAGGTCATTCATGTCTGCCTTAATGGATTTTATAAGTGAGTTCTGTGAAGACCGAGTAAATCTATACTGTCACCTATGATAAGCGTTAGGTTTAAGGTTAAGCTAAGGATTACGTTAAAAAACACAGTCAGCACTATCGATGGATTTCAAACTACTAATAAGATCTACAGTTACCTAGATGAATACATCAGTCGTGTTTGGTGTGATGTCTCTATTGATTATTCTTGAGGTTAACTAGGAAACATATTTACAATATATAAAAAACAATTATCCAGTGTAAAGTCGAGTTTTTAAAACAATTATGCGACTTTTCTGCATCTGAATTTTGATTGGTTGTTCAAGGTCACCGTGATTTTTGGCTATGATAGTTCACCTTCACTCGTCACTAGTCAGCATTAGTTAGAGAATCATTTGAAAGCCAAGAAGGATTGTGCAGATATTTCGCCATACATTGTGAATCTTCCGGAGTGCGTACTTTTTTAAATTTTTAATAATAACATCTTTATTCTGGACAGAATTTTCAGAGAAGTTTATTCCATGATATTTTCCCTGCGTACAATATCTCCAAGTAAAATATTAATTGACAGCATATCCTTCTTGTGACAGAGTGGTCTCTGAGCGTTGAAGCACAAACCATTCCATTATATGATACATCTGCTTTGTCCCTTTCGTTGAAGAAATCTACAATGTCTAATTGAAAGGTAATTGTAAGCTGTTCAGAGGTACATTTTGGGACCCAAGGACATAAGGGAAGAACAGTTACCTCATGTACTGGAACACATTGCAACTACCTCCCGCCAATCAGGCCATTCCTCAAGTTTGGCCGGCTGGATTCAACATAGAAATTGGCACCGAAGTGCAGCAGTTCGAGTTGCCACGTTCCAAATAGCACACAAAGGTAGACAGGAAAATGAGTGAAGAGAATCAATAGAGTTTTGACATGTATAAGAATGAAACAGAATGAGTAATGGTAGAAAGGAATATGAAAGATTACAGAGACTGGATACATCTGCGTAAGCCATTGACAACGATTTTCAGCCATGTCACCTATTGTCTCCAGCCATTGATTCTTAGAGTCCCGAGGGCCCCAACCCGGAAGTCTGCATCTCCCTCCCTACCTGACTCAGTTTAACTGTCAAGGATTTCATGGATTGATGCCATGTTTTTGTTTGGCCACCGCTTACTCTTTCCCAACCTGCATCTAAATCAGCTAGTAATGCCCGTCCGTCGGGGAAGGCGATGGCTAGGCATCCGCAGCACGTGACCTAGCCATCTCAATCTATGTAACTTTATAGCCTCGTCGATTGATTTTCCCTCTTTACCCAACACTATACGCCTAACGTCAACATTGCTTACCTTATTATACCACCTCCTAACGTGAGAAAGAGATCGTAGACATCTATGATCAGAAACAGTCAACCTTTTCATGTCTTCAACTCGTATTGGGCATGTTTCAGAGCCATAGAGAAGGACGGAGCGAACTGCTGAGCAGTAAACACGTCCCCTGGTTGGTAGCCGGATGTCACGCCTACGCCAGAGATGGTGTAAGTTAGCGAAAGATTCCTCAAGTTTAGAAGGAACTTGCGAATCAGGATAATACTGTCACGAGAAAAAATATCTTGAATATAGAGATGGCAATATTTGGCTGCCCAAGTTTTAAGCAGACCACCACAATTCATAACCCTATCAGGACCATAAGGTTACGAGGTCACGTTATTGACTATTTATCCTCGTGAGTGCACATTTCTGGAGAGTTTAAAAAGTTAGCTGCTCAATCTTTCTTGTTATCCAGTTGATTCTCTAATTAATCTTGATTGGTTCATGACGAACTGTATACCGAAATTAATTCAAATTTCTACAACAGTCGGTGGCACAGCGGTTAGGACTCACACCGACCATGCAAATGGTCCGGGGTTCGATTCCCTACTGACGCACACCTGATATCAATTGGTCGGCCTGCAAAATTTGGGCTACCGATATCACATACTTAAAATTCCATACTCGTACTAGAAAATACGGTGTGGAATCAAGCTATAATCAAAAAAAAATAATTTAAATTAAAACTTTTTATCAGGAAAATTATTAACTGAATACACAACTAAATGTTTCACTATATCTAAGGTGGTTGAATAGAAGCTTTTTTTTCCTATTTTTTCTATCAGTGTCCAACTGAAAATATTTTAGTTACACTGACAACTCATTTTTAACCCATTAGTCCTGTCTTTCTTTTTAAATCAGTAAAGTGTGTCAGTGGCACAGCCGTGGAATATGCTTGCCAACCACACTTCATGTGGTCCGGGGTTTAATTCCCGCTATCGACGCACTCCTCCTATACCTCGCTAAGCCGGTAATAGGACTGGTGAAGGAAGAGAGGTTTGGTATGTGGCTAGCAGCAAAAAATACTCACCACTGCTGCCGAAACTCCAAGCCTCTAGCTTGAAGCCCTCTATGTTCCAACAATGGGAACGTTTAGGAATAAAATAATAAATAATAAACCTATAATTAAACCAGAAATCTGGGTGCGTTATGTTTATGATATATCTGTAATAACTTAAAAGAAATGTGATTTAGAATATACACCCATAAATTAATAAACAATATATTTTAAAGCATTAAATTCACTACAAGAAAAGAAGATTTTATGCAACAAAATTGCCATTCTTAGATGTCTCAATCGAGAGAACTAATACAGGAGATTTAGAAATGCAAGTATATAGAAAATCAACTCACACATAGAGCAAATACTCAACTATAGTAGCAATAACCCGATTACCCACTAAAGAAACTGTGTGCAGACATTGTTTAAAAGAGGAGTTCAAACACACACACACACTGCAGCACTCCTGTGTTTGTTGAAGAGAATCGAAGAAAAACACCTACTAACCATCTTCAAAAAGAATGGATATCCCCCTCACAATTTCATCAAAAAGTGTTTAAACTCGGATCATAACACCAACAAGAAACCGTCATGAAAGACCAGAAGAATATTCACTCTACCATATATAGAAAAATATCTCTGAAATAACAGCTAGAATATTAGGACCGTATGAAACAGATATAACATGCAAACCAGTGGGCCAGCCCAATAAATTCATTCGATATTGTGCAAAGTGAAATACCCATTCAACAGAAAAAGAAGATAAAATTAATACCATTTACTATAGTTGGTTTGTAAGGATTAGTGTTGTTTTTAACGAGTTGATCACGGACTGATATCACTTAGAGAACCATTGAAAACCAGCACTGGATGGCCAGCTGTTTCATCCTAGTTCGGGAGTCATTAGCAGTACGCACCTACTGGGGTTCGAATTAGTAGAAGTTAGAATTCATGAGCCATTGAATCAGGTCCCAGTGGCTGAATCCCATACGAGTCAGCTTGCCTTATAACCGGAAGGTCCTGGATTCGAACCTCCTGTGGTGGGTGTGCACTGCCGATGATTCCCAAACTAGGTGGATGAAACAGCAGTCCAGTACTCTAGTGGTGGTTTTCCAGTGGTTTTCTAATTGATATCAGTCCGTGGATCAACTCGTAAATATCATTTACAAAATAAATTGTACAATTACATTATTCATGGAGAATTTAAATGAGTTCATTTTATATTTAAAATCTACGCTGAAGATGTTGTCAAAATGTTGGAAGACGAAAGCTTCGCAATTAAATCAACAACGGAGCTTAGAGAACAAAACTAATTCAGTATCATCCATCTGAGCTACACGTCTTCTCCATTACTTTTAATTCAGTGCAGAAATCGTCACAAATGTTCATCACTTAGAGAATCGTTGAAAACTAGGAAGCACTAGACAAGTGTTATGTCCTATTTCGGGACTGACTCCTTGTCAGTGGACACCTACAACTCTGTCAGGCATCAAACACAAAGCATTCAGTCATGTTATAGTACACCTTGTAGATGAGTCAGTTCCAAACTAAGATGAAACCGGCCGGCATCCATGACTCCCTGATTTTCAACAATTCTCCTCTAACTAATCAACATTTTATGTCGTGAGATTAATCCAAATTCCTACAAAAGCCTTAATTTAAATTAAACTATTCTATCAAAAATATTAACTCCATATTTACTTTTTTTTTTAAAAAAACTTTTTCTCATATTGAATATCTATTTACTTATTTATTTTAGCTTAAACAGCTTATTTTTGATGAACGTTTCAAATCGAATTCAGCAATGGTTGTTTTGGATTTTTTGTACAGGCACAAATTTATTGATGAAAATTCTGGTATGTTTTAATTTGTTTCTTCTCTTTTTAAAAAGAAATTAATATTTGATTATTTTCAAGTATTGGTTTGGTAGGGATTTTGTTTAATTATAATTGGAGGATTTCATCATGAGCTGGCATCAGTTAGAGAACCACTGGAAAACCTGGGAGTACTGGACAGCTGTTTCGTCCTAGTTTGGGACTCTTCATCAGTACGAAGCCACCACAGGGGTTCGAACCCAGGACCTTCTGGTTACAAGGCTAGCGCGCTCGTAGACCATTGAGCCACTGGGACCCCATCCAATGGGGTGGTGGCTTCGTACTACTGAAGAGTCCCAAACTGGGACGAAACAGCTGTCCAGTACTCCCAGGTTTTCCAGTGGTTCTCTAACTAATGCCAGCTCATGATGAAATCCTCCAATTATAATTTGATTATTTATAAGAAAATTTCATTCTTCAACACATATTCACATAGAATTTGATTCGGCATCTGCTTTCCTGTTTTGTTTATTAGTTTGTTTTTCTTTTGGTATATATATGTGTGTGTGTGTGTGTAATTTCCGAAGGTATGTACATCTCCGAGTCCTTAAATGTGATTATCAGTGTTTAAATGAAGACAGGGTTGAGGATAGAGACCAAGAGGGATAAGGGGAAAAAGCGCTCTTGGATAGCAAAGTTCCAGTTTAGTGGAGAAAAAGCCTTTATTTTTACGTCTAGCCTCTAGCTTGAAGCCCTATGTTCCACAGGGAGCGTGAAGGAATAAAAAATAAAATTAAAAAAAACAGTTAGGCAGGTTCATCTACAGCTTCAGCGAAGGGGAAATTAAATGCATAAAAGGCTCGATTTTATCACATTTAGTCGGTAGTGGATATCGCATCGAAGTCAACACAGCTTTCAGGGTTATATACCTAATTCCGAGTTCGTTATCACGTACAGTTCACTTACGTCTCCCACACATATAGCTGGTTCTGTTGCAATAAGATCCACTAAACCGGAACTTTGTGTTAATGTTTCTTTCTCCCCTCACTAAGAGTGCCTTTTCCTCTTATCCCTCTTGTCTGTTTTTGCTTTGCCGTATTATTACAATCATTATTATTATCATTATCAATTCATACCCTTTATTCAGACAAAAGAGAGAGTAGATTAACTTGTGATACTACCAGTTTAAAGTATGTCACATTGAATAGTTCTTACTGGTTGGTGTTCAACTGTGTATCCGCTATTAATGTTCTTGTTTTTATTTTATTATAAGGCCATTCATCTACTGGAACCCTTTTTAAATGTCCCATGAATTCCGAATCCCTAGATTTGAACCCTTCCAGTGATTTCACTCTGATAGACAGTGCCAATACTGGACGAAACCGCTGTCCAGTACTCTTAGCTAGTTTTCCAATGGTTCTATAATTGATGTTATCTTGTGACCCCCAAATCTGTAACCAATCAAATTCTTGCAAACTAACACTCGATTGCAATCTATTTAGGTCCTACGCAAAGGCTTTTCCATTGGTCCATTTGCATAGAATACTGAACAGTTGTTTCGTCCATTATTCAGAGGACTCTTCATCAGTAGGCGTCTATGACTGTACATTTAAAATCAAACCTATTGAAAGATGCTCACTTTAATATTACCGTATGTCATGCTCATAATATAATAGTAGGTTCTAGTCAACCTATAGGCAACTGAAACAACTGATTGGTGGCCTGACAATATAAAATATGACTAACCCTCAGTTAATCATTTTTCCAGTTATGATATTTATATGGTAATCGATATTAGATCTAGAGATTACTAAAATGGTTATTGATTATTTTCCACATCTTTCAATAAAGTTAAACACGTTATATACCCAGGATCTTATCCATAGTAGAACCACCACTCCATAGAGAATTGTCGAACATTCATTTACCACTAGTTAACCCTAGTTAATTTGCCTTGTGGTGACTGGTGTTTGAAACGAGAGGTACTGAGTTCCAGCCTCAGTAGAGTAACACCATCAGTCACTCATTAGGGAGTGTAGGTACATCCTCTAGCTGATGAGTCCCAAATAGGACGAAATGTGCATCCTGGATTCCATTGCTAATCACCATCCATCCAAATACTTCAGATCAAAACCCCAGATACCACTGAGGTATCCACACAAGCAGCCGACACGTCAACCAACAGAAGCCGAACACTTCGGTCCAATCAGTCAACGGGGAAGTCCAAATTGAATTATATAATTAATCCGAGTTACCTGTCCACCTTTGTTAAAACTATGTGACTGATAATACGGCTATGCCTGAATTGTGCCGATTCTGTAAAAGAATCCTATGCTCCATTCATTCAAGGAGTTCATTCAAGAGTTGACTGATCAGGAAACATTGCACCTATGTGTCGTGCTTGTTGACATTCACCAGTCAGCAAGGACTATCTGCTGCAATCTTGAAGGAACTCATGTCCCTCCTGCTAATTGCCTCCAACCATCTAATATCAACAAATCAGAGAGCACTGTTCAGAGTTTGAACCATTTTTAATGGGGCATAATATTAGAGCTAAATGTTTTGATAATTCATAAGTAGGAGTATTTCTGGTATCTACTATTGGTCGTATGGGATAACCTGGCTTATGTATTTTAATATTACCATACATTCTACTAGCATTATTAGTTTTAGGCATTAAATTAAACCATTTAGACTCACCCGGTGATGGCTTCATTCTGCGTATTAATTCCGCTGTGGATTTCTTAACCTTATTCACTATTATATTGTATCATTGATTATTGTATCTACAGGCTTCTTAATTTCCTCATATGGACCCGTCTCAATATGTTCAGTGACTTTCTTGATATAGTCAGATTTATCCAAAACTACTACTGTAGAGTTTCCTTTGTCAGCTTTTGCGATGAAAATGCTTTTATCCTGTTTTAGACTAATTAGAGCTAGTCTTTCCGATGTCGTTAAGTTTGATTTTTCAGGGTTAATGCACATTATGCTCAAACCTCTTCTACTGTCGTCTTATCTATTGAACTTAGTGCTACTTCTATGTTAGGAATGACATCCTCTGGTTTTAATTTACTAACTATTACATTAAAATTTAGTCCTTTCTCAAGTACTTTTCTCTCACTAGAGCTTAGTTCCCTTGATGAGAGGTTGATCACCCATTTTATTCTGTCAAAAGAGGATGAAACTTTGACGTCAATTTCATTTGCTGTGTTCTTTTCTTCAATTAGTTTGTTGAATTTTTCGATTTTTTTAAATACTGATTCTCTAGCTTTCTTGGATGTTTCAACAACAATTACATAATCTTTCTCATTGACCATACATTTGAGTTTGTGTGTGAGTTTTTTTAATTTCACTTCGTATATTATTTAGTTTCACTGTAATTCGATGTAGTTCTTCTCTTAGACATAATCTACTGACATGGCAGAGTGCACTATGTTGGCAAACCACCTAGAATCATGGCCACATTGCAAACTTAACTGACAATAGAATTCAGTCTGTGCACCAAACACTCTAAGGACTAGACGCGTGATCTTAGTTGTCCAACTAGTGTCCAATCAAAGTATCTCCTTAACAGTTCTATAGGAGGTCAGTCACGCGCCCGATAGCCCAGTCGTAACGTCTCTGATTACAAACAGTGGGTGACCCGGGTTTGAATGTCAGATGGGACGCGAGTTCCTTTAAGATTGCAGATACGCCTGCCTTGCTGACTGGTGAGCATCAAACTTAGGTCGAAGTCTTGTTTCCGATTGTCTCCAACTATCTTATATCAACCTAATGAAATGTTGCTTTATTGTACTGTCTCAGAATTGTAATATTTTTCTTGTAATATTTTTCTATTCCTGTGGGTTCCAAGTGTCAGGCGTAGGGTTCCATACCCCAGGTTTGAAGCTGTACATTATTATTATTATTGTTCCCTTGGGTTCCTAGTGGAACATAAGGCTTCAACTACACGTCTCCACTTGTTTCTCTCTTCTGCTGTACTTTTTACCTACATCTATGTTAGTCCATACTGTTTCAACTCCTCTTCACATGATCTCCATATCACCCTTGGCCATCCTACTCGCCGCTTCCCTTTCGAGTTCCACTCGAGCACTGGCCTGACGCGCGATGTCACCCAACGGCCTCCTCAGTGAGTGTTCAATCCATCTCCACTTTCTCCTGCATATTTGTTGGGCGATTGGTTCTTGTTTTGTTTCCTCCCATAGTTTCTTGTTGGTGATTCTTTCCGGCCATCTGATCTTCCGTATAGAACGAAGACAGTTGTTGTTGATAAAGGTCTGCAACAGGCTGTTGGAAATATTCTTTGTGACCCGCCGCCAAGATTCTGATCCATCCGTATAGAAGAACTGACTGACTTGACGTTTGTATTGAAAATCCGAATTTTGTTGTTGATGCTGAGTTGAGTCACGAATATTTCCAGATTGGTTTCAGGTTGATGAATGTGTTTCTCGCCTTCCCGATTCTCGATTTGACATTCTCGTCCGTTCCTGCTGTAGTTTTGACAATGCTCCCTAGATAAGTGAATGAAGTAACCTCTTTCATCACATCCCTCCCATTGATGGTGATTGGCGCTAGATGTTGCTGCTGCTGTTGTTGTTGTTGTTGGTTGTTTATTTTCATAACCTCCGTCTTGTCTATGTTCACCTGCAGTCCTGTCTTTGCTGCTTCTTCGACCAGTTTGTCGGTTTTCGCTTGTAAGTCTTCGATTTTGTGTGACATGAGACATAAATCATCCACGCGCGAAATCTGGGTCTTTTAGGTTCTTCACGTCGGTCAGGACAGGATATCCCTGTCTTCTCGTTTCCCACTGTCTGACGCATAATCCAGTCCACCACAATTAGGAATATGATTGGTGATAATAAGCACCCTTGTCTGACTCCTGTGTTTACTCCAAAAGCCTGGCTGAGTTTTCCGTTGTGCATCACTTGACATGTGCCGTTGTTGGACAGCTGTTGAATAAGGTTGATGAGTATTTGCGGTACGCCGTAGTACTCGAGTAGTTTCCAAATTACTTCGCGGTCAACGCTGTCGAAGGCCTT